GGGCTGGTGTGAGGTATAAGAAAAGAATATTACAGAACCTTATGAGGGATTGGGTAAATTTTCTCGCGACACAACCAAAATCCTCCAAAGCCAACCCACCCCCCCTCCCCACACAAACGATAAATAAGGACATGTCCCTAAGCTATCTAAAAAAACAAACTTAAGCTACAATTAAAATAATTTATAATACAGGTCAGAAATTAAGATTACATAATAGAACTGCTAAATCAATTTGCGAAATTCGTCGCGGTGTTCTTTATTTAGGAAACTTAAGCACAAAAGATTTTGAGACACCAATGGCAGCCGGAAATTAAAACTTCCTATTCCTGATGCTCAAAACACCTTTTTGGTCAGCACAATTTGGTTTATATTGCTAAAATAAAGACCTTATGGTCGATACTTTGGCGTCAAAAAGAGCGTAAGAGATAATTTTATTTTTCATCAGGTGTTTGTGCGCGTCTCAAAAGCGTCTCTGCTTTTGTGACTTTGATATTCCCAATACTGTCGGAAAAGGTTTACTTTTCTAACAATCGCTGAGTAAATAGGATAGGAAAAAAGGGAAATTTTGAACTGTTTATGGAACAAAACAAAGATTCTAATTTTTTTTTTCGTAGTTACGAGCGTATGACAAAGAGAACAAAAATCGATAGAAATTCGGAGCTAACGCGAAATCCGAAGGTCTGAGGGTCGATTCCTCACGAGAAATCATATTCTTCTTTGTTCCACGCCTGTGAAAAGCTGGAAAAACATTGTTCTTTAAAGCTTTGATTAATTTGTTAAGATCGTAAACACAGTGTATTTACAACAAATATTAAAATGAGCAATCTTTAGCGAGAAGTATGAGCCAATCATAGCTCAGGAATCGCTTCATTTTGTCGGCTCGCGAGGATGACCTTTAAAACTGTCCTCGAGGACTGGGGTTGAGAATCAGTGTCGCGTAGTCCACGATCTCCTTCGCATCTCACTGGCCCGCGTTACCCCACTAAGTGCAACTTCTATTATATTGCAAATTTCATTGTCTCCCCAAATTAAAAACAACAAAACAAACAAACAAAACAAACAATAAAACAAACAAACAAAAAATTATGCATATTTTCCAGCACAGATTATTTCACTACCTTATCTAAATTTTTTTGTTGATAGACTTGATCGAAGGAAGAGGCGAATTGGTACAGTCCATTGATTGAAACCAAACTCGTTCCTATAGCCTCTATTTTTTTCACCCCCTCGAGCGTTTGAAGAGCAGAAGGAAGAGACCCTGTAACCGAGGTCGGATGAAAAAAAAATAGATCAGAAACGATGTTCTCATTTTAAATCAGAATTAAGGGCGAATTACGAAAGTAAGTTATTGCTCGCTTGTTCTTGTCCTCTCAACATGGTTTTGGCCATGAATCCAAACAATTCTCTCCAGGCTTTTATAATTTGTTCCGAGCAACTTCCTTCAAGAATGTCTTGTAACATGAGTACAAAGGCCTCTTCCATGACCTGAAAGAAAGTTGAAAACGTGTTTCCCACCAAGCGTTTCAGCGTTAACGTTTCCCACAAAGACGTAGTTTTATATCTACTTTATTAAAGAGCATAATAAACAATGTATCATAAAAAAGATTCCCAGTAGCGACTAAAGGTTAAAATGTTGGCCATTTTTTAGGTTGAGGGTTCTGATCTCCCTGCTACGGTAAACAGAAATGTTAAAAATTGATGTCAATCATTTTTTGAGGTTAATAATAAATTTTCAGTGTACTAAAACACATTTACTCGCTCCCTTAATTTACCATTAGAGCGTGAAGCAATTAGGGAAATACCAGATCGAGCTGCCCTTGGCTTGATATAGAGCAATTTTCTGTTTTCCTACATTGGCCACAAGACAAGTCGTTTAAGGGTTTAAGATTTTGACACTTTCAAATGACGCATCGTAGAACGAAGAAATTTTTTATGGTCAACATGTTTTAAGAATTGAGGTTAAAAATTTGTCAATTTGTACGCCTAACGCCTAATTTTTTTTCGCTGTTTTACAACTGACGGTTAGCCCCATTGAGACTCTCCCTTAAAAGCTACATTCAGCGTCAAAATTAGTTGAGACATCATTTTTGAAGAGTTCTATTTATGCGTAGAATAACACTCCAGTTTCTGCCACACTCTAAATCATTGACAAGACCCCCTCCCCCATTCAATGTTGCCCGTATGTAGCGAAAGTTCATGGAATCACGATACCTCATTGTTTTTGTCTTTGTT